AAAAAAAAGCACATTTAATACTATACCATAAATTTGATGTATTGATGCTTGATAACTATTTCAATATAATTGACCTCCCTGGCAATCAGATGTATGTTATTTTACACATTTAAAAACACACTATTTAGTAGTTCCCAGTATGCCAAACTAGTCCATGATGCAAAAAAAAAAAAAAAAAAGAAAGTTAGGAATTCCTGGTTAGATTCATGTTATCCGTTGGTTAAAATATATGTCCAGAAAGATATTTTTGGTTGAAAGCTAAAAGAAATTGGGGTATGGATTTAGTGATCTGAAATAATATTAATGTGTAGGGAGACGTTAAATCAGACAGACTTCTAGAATCATAGGAGAAAGGCATCACGCTACTAAATGAAAAAGGGCCAGAAGTGTCTGGGTCCCCATAGTGTGAGAAACTGTAGGAAGAGAAACTTCCAGGTCTGGCAGGGGCAAAAGGATCAATAGAGGAGGGAAAAGAGGGAAATAGATAGAGCACTAGCCAGAAGCAGGAACTGGGCAGGGCAACTAGATTATGGAATGAAAGAGTATGTTTCTGGAATTAACAATGCTAGAATTTGTGCAACTCTGCTTCTGTTATTCCTCCAATCATCAGCTCTGTCATCTTGGCATTTACATAACTTCCGTGACATTGTTCCTTTATTCTAAAAAAAGAAAAAAGTGGATAATGACAATTTTATTAGTGGTTGTAGATTAAGTGAAATAGCATAGGGAATATCCTTCATGCGCATGGATGGGATTGAATACATGTACATACAGACTTCCAGTTTTCGCTTCCACATGTAAAGGGCTCACAAGTGTTCACAACAGGAGCATCAAAAACAAGGATACCAGAGGCATCTGAAGCCTTTGACATATATGGCTACAACAAATACTAAATATATCCTAGCCTGATTAAAATATCAATTCACTTGCTCCTCATTTTATTACAAATTCTGGTTTCAACTAATCTCAGTCTTGGCTGTCTCACTGATGGGAACTATAGATAGGACAGACAAGCAAGAGAGTAAAGGACAGTCCTCCAAAAGTAGCCAATTTCTCTTGTGGCCACAAAGAAATAGAAAGGGATAGAGGGTTCTCTGGAAGCACAAGATGCAATCTTGCTCTCTCTGTCCTCTTCAGGGAATCATCCCCAGGTATCACTTCCTAGTACTTTGGGATCGAGGCCTTAGTTCCACTGTGGATCCTTTGCTACTTTGTTCAACTTCCAGAAATAGTGTATGGTTCTTGTCTCTCTGAGAAGACTAAGATCTGGAAGATTTTCTTGCAATCCACTCCTCAAGAGAGCTAGAACTGGATGAGATTCTGTGTCAACTGCTTTAACTTTTCTTCTTGACCCTGTCCTTGTCACTGTCACCATCTTTAGCCCAACTATTAAACCTGTTTTGACTGGAACTTGTATCCTATCTTGGGCTTAGCTCATCCATATAGGTCTTTCTTGGAAAAGAGAAATGGGAGAAATAGATATCATCTTGGAAGATGACATGGGAAAGAAGATGGTGAAAAGGGGAAATGAATGAAAAATTGTGTTGTAGATGAAGGAGGAGCCAACAAAAGAAGAATGTCTCAGAATTCAACACACATTATCATAAACTAAGTGTACATCCTTCACTGCTGACCATCTCTTGACCTGGCTCCACCCCAGAGGGACACAGTTCAGCCCCAACCAATGACTTCAAAGCACCATGGAGAACAAGGGGCCTAAACTTCAGCAGTGAAGAATAAAAGGCCACACCTTCCAGCAGCAGCACATACCTGCTTCTGACACAGCTGTGATCACCAGCAGCTCCAACACCTGACACCATGGTGCATTTCAATGCTGAGGAGAAGGCCTCTGTCACTAGCCTATGGGGCAAGGTGATTGTGGAGGAAGCTGGAGGCGAAGCCTTGGGCAGGTAAGCATCGTTCCCAATGTGTGGGAGAGAAGGGTGGTTATGGCTTTGGTAAATTGACCAGGAAAGTCCTGAAGATTTTTGAGTGTTTTTAATTTTCACCCTGCTCTGGTGCCATCTCATAGGCTCCTGGTTGTCTACCCCTGGACCCAGAGGTTCTTTGACAACTTTGGCAACCTGTCTTCTGCCTCTGCCATCATGGGCAACCCCAAAGTCAAGGCCCATGGCAAGAAGGTGCTGACTTCCTTTGGAGATGCTATTAAGAATATGGACAACCTCAAGGGCGCCTTTGCTAAGCTGAGTGAGCTGCACTGTGACAGGCTGCACGTGGATCCTGAGAACTTCAAGGTCAGTTCAGGAGATGCTCATATGTTTTTTTTGTTTTTTTACTTTGAGTCAATAATGGAAGCTGACTATAATTAGAAAGGTCAACAAAGATCTCAGAAATCATGGGCTCAACTTGTTATTAGAAGTGCAGACCTCTGATGGACATAACCAAGACCAATCTGATTCAGAACTAGTGACAATAAAGGGCTACTAGCAGCCTGGATTTTCTTAAAACTTTTAAGAAAATTTTGTTAGAATTGGACATGTTTATCCTGGAGAATAATATAGAACAGCAGACTGTGCAAGGAGAAATTAAATTTGGCTTTTGGTAGAAGAAGTCCAGTCTCAGCGAAGAAGAAATGCCTTATTTTATGTGGGTCCTGATAACTGAAGTTTAGGAAAATATTTTGGGAGAACTTTTAAAAACACTTGGTCAGAGAAAAGTATGACACATTCTCTAAGATATATTAAATTCCCTGGGAGTATTGTGACCAAGTGAGGGCTTGTTCCTGCATTTGGTGGGAGACTTCAAACTCCCACTGAGAACACTCACAGCACTGAAATTGTATTTTTACATAAATTAGACAATCAGTAAATTGGAAAGGGAATGAGGGAGGCAAATAAAAATGGTGAAATGGGGGAGAGGGTGAGGATATACGTAGGTGGAATATTGAATACAGGGCTTGTTAAAAGGGAATTAAACCAAAGTTTATCTGTGTTTATTGGATAGACACAACCCTTGCAGCATTTTGAGGTCAGAGTTATCAGGGAGTGTAGGTATAAAGTCTTTTTTATTTCCTGTGAATTGTTTTTTGGAAACTTCAACTCAACATGTCTATTTGTCATTTTGTCTTTCACCTAACAGCTCCTGGGTAACGTTCTGGTGATTATTCTGGCTATGCATTTTGGCAAGGAATTCACCCCTGACATGCAGGCTGCCTGGCAGAAGCTGGTGGCTGGTGTTGCCAATGCTCTGGCCCACAAGTACCACTGAGTCCTCTTTCCAGTTTGCCAGTACCTCCGTGTGTCCCCAGTACCCTCCTTCTGTACGTGAGGACTGGGCTCAGCCTTGTGAACACAGTTTCTGTTTAATAAAGTGCATTCTATTCAGAGATCAAAAACTGCTATTTTATCTTCTTCTTTTACTTTTGTGTTAAAGGAAAAAAGGATTTGTGGGCTGAGGGTTGGGGAGAGACAAAGGAAGAAACAGGAGCTTCTTGGCAAAGTTTGTGGGGACTAATCAAAGGAAGGCAGATGTTATGGGAGGATTTTTGAGGGCCAGGGAGCATGCAAGGATGGAGCAGAAGTTCTATGGGAGTGGGGATAGGGTTTTTAAGTGGGTGGGGACTTGTGGGGCAGTGTGGCAAAATCTTACTGCAGAATGGAAGGAAGGAGGTGGCAAGTGGTGCCTGAGAAAGCAAATTTGTGGTACCTGCCATATTTTATTAAAAAAAATATTGTAGGGAACCAAGATCTAAGCTAGGATTACTATTTTAATTTAATTTACTCTACTGTACAAAAGCAAATTTGTGGTACCTGCCATATTTTATTAAAAAAAAAAAATTGTAGGGAACCAAGATCTAAGCTAGGATTACTATTTTAATTTAATTTACTCTACTGTACATCTTGAAGCAGCTAGCTTGTCATATATCTCCTGAGATTAATTTGGAGACAAGAGGGTAAATTGAGTGATGGCTGGGAGCTTTCCAGGAAAATTTCCCATAACCAACAATAACCTCCTCATTCCTGAAGGGATCCATTTTCTCAGTGATAGCCAAGGCTAAGATAAGGCATTATCTTCTGATAGATTGTAACATGCACTAAAATTAAGTTAGAGTTAGGATACAAGTAGGATCTTTTGAGGAGGGAAATAGCAAAGTTTTTTTTTTTTTTTTGGTGATTGCCAAGCTTTAATTATTATCATAAGGCTTAGGTTTATATATACATGCATTATTTATGAGTACCCATTTTTTATTATTTATTTTTTTTATTGGTTATGAGTATTCATGAAATACAAAGCTGATTGTCACCCCTCCCCTTGTGCCCTTGATGTGAGGGCCAGATTCACACTGGCAGCATACCCATTACCACAAACTGCATTGAACCCTGTGTCCTCCACCCAACCATCCCCAACCTCCTTCCCCCTCTTCCTTTCCCCCTAAATCCACTTTGTAGATCAAGAAATGGTCTCTCTCTCTGCAAGTCCAACACACTGCTATGGTCTTTCTTTTCTTCCTTCTTTCTCTCTTAGCTCCCACATGTGAGTGAGTACATGTGGTATTTATCCTTCTGTGTTTTGCTTATTTCACTCAACATAAGTTTCTCTAGGTTCATCCATGTTGTTACAAATGGGAGAATATTATTCTTTTTATGGCAGAGTAGTATTCCATAGTGTATATATACCACAGTTTCCTTATCAAATCATCCATCGATGGACATTTAGGTTGGTTCCATGTCTTGGCTATTGTAAACAGAGCTGCGATGAACATGGGAGTGCAGGTATCACTTCGACGTAATGATTTCCATTCTTCTGGGTATATACTCAGAAGTGGGATTGCTGGATCGTATGGAAGATCTCTCTGTAGTTGTCTGAGAAACTTCCATATTGTTTTCCATCGTGGTTGTACTAATTTACAGTCCTTCCAACAGTGTAGGAGTATTCCCTTCTCTCCCCCTTGCCAGCATTTGTAACTCACTGTCTTTTTGACTACAGCCAGTCTAACTGGGAAGAGATGGCATCTCAATGTAGTTTTAATTTGCACTTCTCTGATGACTACTGATGTTGAACATTTTTTCATGTATCTATTGGCCATTTCCATGTCTTCCTTTGAAAAATGTCTATTCAGCTCCTTTGCCCATTTTTAATTGGGTTATTTAT